AGCAATTAACATTTAATTATCGTAATGTTATAGTTCGTGCAATGTTAATGCTAGCGAGGACTATAACTCTTCAGAGTACACTTTCTGGCATCTGGCACTCGCTTTCTGTGATCCTCAACCACCTGAATCAACCTCTGCATTTCAGATTCATTCCTTGTAATCGATTCATTAAACATCGACATTAAAGCCACAGATCGTTCGGCAGCATCATTTACTACTTTCAATGAATATTCTAAATTTTTTCCTTCTTGGTATTCTGGGGAATCATTCCAGGTAGCTGGATCGTTGTTGAACAGAAAATCAATATCAACCTTCATTGACCGCAACGCACTTGCTGAAACTGATGTCACCAGCATGTTCAGAGATTTCTTCTCTAGACTTTCAATGTTCTTTAATTTGATCAACCTTTCAGTATTTTGTCAACATTGTGACCTGTCACACCTACAGATAGCCGGTCAACATTTGCTTTAGGGTCTGCAGAATTTGTACTATCTATCATCAGTTTGCCATCCCAGTGGATGATTAATGGTGGTTTGTCCAAATCGCAGAATTCAGTTCAAACAGTGGCTTCAATGTTTGATCGATGATAGGTTCGTTTTCTACGGACTGTAGAATGTGACAATGATCCATCATCGAGGTTCTGTCCACCAGCCCTTGCAATTGCTGCTGCTAGTATAGTAAATTTTGTGTCAGATAGATTAATTCTGTCTAATGTTGATGAAACATCAGGCGAGTCAAGAATTGTATCTAAGATACATTGCCGTTTTGGAGTACTTGCTAAACTTGATTCAGCTGACCCTGAAGAACTTGCTTTACTGACTTGTTGTCTGTAATAAACAGGGATTTCTATCTCAAAATCTCTATCAACCATTTTGTCATTATCAACAGCATCGTTATCATTGTCATCACTATAACTTTCGTCATGTAAAGGTTCAATAACAGGAACTATTGCACTCGCACCAGATTTGCTCTTCTTTTAGCTTTCGTTCTCTCTCTGCTTGTTTCCTTGCTTCATTTCTTGCTTCTAATTTTGAAAGTTCTTTGTCCTCTCCAAACATCACCATTTTTCTCTGACATCTCTGATCCAATAAAAATTCTTTATCTTCTTCAATTCTGATCATGGTTTCAGCATCCTTGTGGGCAATGTCAAAAAGTAGGCCAATGGTGTCTGTAAATGATTTCTCTCTTGATTTCTGAGAATCTGACAATCTGGATTTTTTTTTTTTTATTAATTTAAATTCCTGGACTAAAGTTTTCAACTTTAAGACTACATTCGGATGAAATGCTGTCGGAATACGGGCTTTATTCCAAATAATAATCAGTTCATCAACAGTTGTTTTAAGACTTTCAGGCACTGACTTTTTGGTTGAATTAAGATGATAAAAAAATGTTTTTAAAACATCAGATGTTAAGGGAAGAACTTTATCTGGAAGATTTGGCTCTAGTTGTCCAATTAAAAAGATTTCGGTTTGAAGTCGTGTAGAGATAGCAACACGAGATTATGCTGCCATTTCAATGATAACTGAAAAATTATGAGAAAATCAAAACTCAATACCATATTATACAAACTTATCATTCAGTTGTTGGTTTATGCAGCTGCAGCAATATATAATAATAATTATTACTAAAGAAATTAAATAAATATTTTCAAATTAGAAATTATTATTATCTGCACTTAATAACAAACAATACACTACCAGACTACCATGCTAGTTTTCTGTAATAGTTTACTAAGGTTAGGTACTATCAAAATATTAATACATTTGTTGTCAAACTGAAATTCCAAATAAAAATAATATTTATACTTGTAAACCTTTTTATTCTGTTTGAACAAATTCTAAATTGAGTTAAATAATAGTATTAAAATTATGAATACAAATTTTAACAAAATGATATAAACACAGTTGTTTTAAACACTAGCAGACATTTTTTAGTCTGGTGCCCTGATGACAGATAATCTGCTGCACTTTAATTAATCTATATAGCACGCAATCAGACAATATTTCAGTGGAAAAAATCTAACTAACCAGGTTCTAGAAATTTTTGGAACTTTGGAACTTTTTCCACATTTTTGACGTTTTTCGTAAAACTTTATGGTCATTGAGCACCCCCTAAACATTATCTGATTGGAAAGATTTTTTACACAGTCAATTACTATGTCAAATGGCACAAAATAAACAACTATGCATTCAAATCCGAGAGAAAAATTTTTTTCCTGTGTTCACATGAACAGCCCTAATATATATATATATATATATATATATATATATATATATATATATATATATTATATATATATATATATATATATATATATATATATATATGGGCATTTCCATTTCTGTGTGTGATTTTATTCAGGCTACCTGAATAAATTAAATATATAAATATTTTGATCATTTTATTTTTATTACATAATATCGCTACAGTTTGAAAATAAACAACCATTCTCAAAACGCTATACCTTAGCGAAAAATAATTGATGACTGCCATTTCTCATCGAAAATATATTAAATATGAGTCGTAGAAGTATAATATTTCACTTAAAATACTCACAAGCAATTTATTTTCTTAAAAATATCTACATGAAATTAACAATTATGCAACTTCCGTGCGTGAATTCCGTGCATGATCATTTATGAACTGCATTTAAATGATTGGTGTGACTCTATGATACATAGTGCAATACTGTAACTTTCTGGAAAGCTTTACTAATGTTTAAAACATTGTTTAAAAAAATATATATAACGCTGAAACTTATATTTTCCAAGGAACTAAAGTTTATTTATTTAGTAACTAAAATTTGAGTTTTTCTGTTTTGTGCATGATTCTACTTTAAACTTAATTTATTCCTTGATAACATTACTAATGTATATCATTCTTTGTTTAAAAAATATTTATATAGGTTAGAATTAAATGAGAGCAAATTGGAGATCAAATTATTGCCTCATTTTTCGGCAAATTATTGCCTTATTTTTCCTAATTTCGAGGGTTGATATATATATATATAATATATATATATATATATATATATATATATATATATACACATATATATATATATATATATATATATATATATATATATATATATATACATACATACATATATATATATATATATATATATATATATATATATATATATATATATATATATATATATATATATATATATATACACATATAAAGCAAAAGACAGTCAAGACAGTAAACAAAAGTAAATCTTTTTTTCTCAAAATATTTATTATTAATAATATTTTTTTTAATTTCCAAAAAATACATTAATACAAAGTATTTTTATATAATTAATTAAATAAACTTTAAGCACTAGAGGCCTTTCAAAAAATTATCAGTAGTGCTGTTTTAGTATTGTAGCAAGATTTTTGTATACAAAATAAAAATAATTTTAATTGCATATTGTTGCTGAGTAACTATTATGATGAATTAAATTCTAATAATACACAGGAAGTATCAATTAAAAGTATCATGTTTGTGCAGATGCTTTTTGTATGATAACAAAAAACTTTCATTGTTAAGCTCAAGGAAAACAAAAAGTTAAAAAAAAGGTTCAATTACATTTTGGTGGGAACATTGACAAGTATAAACATGGTTGTCAAATCTATTATTTGATAGGCAAGTTCTGCAACTAGAAATAAGTCCGTTTGTTTGTAATCTTAAATTGTCAGTTTTGCCAATATATGTGGCTTGTTTTTTGCATGCCAAATATTTAAAGTAATAAATTACATTTTGGGCTGTAGCATGTGATGTGACTTTTTATTTTCCAGATAATGCCATTAGAAGTTTCAAACTCATCTTCTTCTTGAAGGTAGAGTTTGCATATTTTACACCGAATGTCTTTGCATTTAAATATGCCAATCTTCTTCTTATTTGCTTCAATTTTTGAAGAAGTAAGTCTTCTTAGTAAGTTAGGAGATTGTTTAAAAGTTAATACTGGATGAATATTAGAAAAAACATTTTTGACTCTTTCATTAAGAGATAAAAAGGTAAACACTCTGAGCAAAAGTTAAACTTCTGAAATTTAAAGGTTGACAATTGAGATCACTATAGAATGTTGTCACTAAAGGAAATATTTCTTTAGAATGGTTTTGTGGTGCTGGTCTTTGTAGTTTTGCATTATGGAATGCTTTATCTATAATTACATCAGGATATTCACAATTTTTCGACCATGACTTTAGTTCTGCTAGACGAAGTTTTTCAATTTCGTAATTAGATGTAAAAACAATTATTCTTTTAGCTAAATTATAAGGAGTATTCTTTTTGATGTGTAATGGCTGTTATAGTTTAAGTAGTCATGAGTGTATCTTTATAATAAATGTCTGTTTGAATTTTTTTGTAGTTTTCAAGAGTAATTGCAATGTCTAAAAAGTTATTTACACTGTAGGCGTTATCATTTTTAGAAAACTCTTTGCCAAAATCAGTTGTAAAACTAATTGATTCGTTTAATTCAGTAAAAGAAAATTAAAAATTTATGATGTCAAGGTGTTTTGGCCAGATTATAAAACCATCATCAATATATCTAAAATAAAATTTCTTTATAACATCTACTTCACGGTTTGAAAAATACTGAGGTAAGATTATTGGAAAAAGCTTAGTCTCTTCTAGAAACCCGATAGTGAGACAAACATAATCTAGTGCGAAATCTGTACCCATGGCTGTACCAGTTGTTTGGTGACATAATTGTTTATCGAACATAAAACTATTGTTATTCAAAATAAAAGATAGTCAAGCTAGTAAGCAAAAGTAAATCTATATATGAATCGCTAACTTGAAAAAGGGGACATGTTATGTGAATTTTTGCAGGACATGTCTTCTTTTTCAAGTTAGCGATTCATTGAACTCTGTATTGTATGAAATGTCATATTAATAAAAGATAAATGTATAAACAAATGTATAATATAAAATAAAAATATTTAGTTTTTCTAAACTTTAAATTTATATAAATATATTTAATATGTTTTCAAAACATAACTACTCACCCTTCCATTTGATATTGGAAAAGCATTATTCTAAATAAATATTAATTTTTTTTTTATTTCTAAAAACTACTTCTACTTTTTTATTTACTGTTTATATCATACTTGAATTAAAAAAGTTTTTTTTCAAATATTTGATCTTGAAAATACCTGTATAGCATCAACCAATTTTCTTCTGGGTGTATTTTCATATTTGAGAGCAAATTTTAAGTTTCTCATATCCTAAAAATTAAAATATGTCTAGATAACAATAAGTATAGATAGATAATAATCTATCTTTTTGCATCTTAATACATATTAAACAAAAAAACATACTTTACAATACATTTCTAGTCCATATACACTTTCTGTTTTTTGCTTAGCTGAGCTGCCTACTTTTTCTAGTTTTGAAATATTTCCTAATGGACATGAAACAGTAAACATACCATTCTCCTAAAAACACATTTTCATTTTCAATGACAATAAAATTCCAAACAATCTATTCTATTAAATACTACCATACTTTTTAATAAATTAAAAGTCAGCTATCAGCTATTAACTATCAGGCAAAAAATCTCTTTTTTATGTTTACAAAAACAATATATATATATATATATATATATATATATATATATATATATATATATATATATATATATCTTTATATATATATATATATATATATATATATATATATATATATATATATATATATATATATATATATATATATATATATATATATATATATATCTTTATATATATATCTTTATATATATATCTTTATATATATATATATACATATATATATATATATATATATATATATATATATATATATATATATATATATATATATATATATATATATATATATATATATATATATATATATATATATATATATATATATATATATATATATATATATATATATGGTCACATCCAGGGATGCTAAGTCCCTAAAAATACATAATCCTTGCATAAAAGAAAAAAAAATAGTGCATCAAATTAAAATACTAAATGTAATTTACAAGTTATCATTCATTATTAAAAACACTTGTAAAAATATCAAACCTCATTTCCTTGAAAAAAGAGTTTGTAATTAGTTATGTAAAGGATTCCTTTAATTCTCCCAGAATATGGACAAAAATATGTTATGTCAGAAGCTAAAAATAGAAAAAATTATATAAAAAATATCCTGTAAAAAAAATGATAATAGTAATGCTATTATCATTTTTTTTACAACATTAAATGTTCCCAATGAAATGAAATGACATTAAATAGTTTATGAAATGATTTATTGGTACACAAATTTGTGAAATAACTCTTTTAGATGCATCAGTTTTAAATAATAATCATAATTATTTTATTCACCAACAACAACTTTTTGTCAAAATGAAAAGTAAAAAATTATGTTATTTTTTTGCGCTAATTTATTAAATTGAAGGTCTTTTAAAAGCCTTTTTTAAACTAGTGAAAATGCATTTGAAAAAATTTATGCTGTAAAATATCATTACTACTTTGTTTATGTAAAAAAAATTTCTTTAAGTTCAAAAGAAGGGTTTGTGTGTTATAAATAATAATGAAATCATAAATGACTGTAAAATAATTTTATTTAAAATCATAAGACTGAAACATTTTTGGTCTTATAATTTTGTATAACAATCTATAAAACAGAAAATCTTTATCTGAACTAGTTATAAATTGAACACATTATTAAAACAAAATGCTATAAAGTGTTTCCAATGGCTATCTCTAATAACTGGAATTAAACTGATAACGAATTTAGTTTTATCAATGCGTTCAATGCACATTGGGATGTGCATTGAACACATTGATAAAATAAAATGCAAGATGTTACTTGTCACACTTGCCAAACATGTTTAAATGTATACTTTAAATACACATACATTACAAACTACATGTATATGTTTTAGATACTCATTAAGAGTCCTTCATTAAAAAAAATGTTGAGCAGAGCAATTTTTGTTTGTTTGTTGAGGTAGTTTTATAAGCTTTTTACAAGGTTTTTGTGAGCTGGCTTAGAAAAAAAATTCTTTCTTCTTAATAAGTTGTAAAATTAAATGTCAAAGTCTTATTAAAAACAATTTTTTTTCCTGATAAAGACAATCAAGGAAAAATAAACAAAAATTTTAATTTAATAATTGATGTTGCAATTTTAAAAATCATTTTGTTTTGATCCAACAAAAGATCTGACATACTAAATGCAGATATATTTAGCAAGTAATATGAGTGAGAGAAGGTAGCTATTTTTTTTACATAAATAATTTACATTACAGCATGATTTGTATTTAATGGACTAACAAATAACAATGAGTAAAAACTAAATCTAACTGTTTAATATATGGTTTGCTACCATATATTAAACAGTTAGATTACCATTTCTGTAGAAAAAATTATTTATTCCAATGGACTTATTTTTATGTTTCTTTATTCCAATGTATTTCTTTATTGCAATGTATTTCTTTATTTATTCCAATGTATTTCTTTATTGCAATGTATTTCTTTATTTATTGCAATGTATTTCTTTATTTATTCCAATGTATTTCTTTATTTATTCCAATGTATTTCTTTATTTATTCCAATGTATTTCTTTATTTATTCCAATGTATTTCTTTATTGCAATGTATTTCTTTATTTATTCCAATGTATTTCTTAATTTATTCCAATGTATTTCTTTATTGCAATGTATTTCTTTATTTATTGCAATGTATTTCTTTATTTATTCCAATGTATTTCTTTATTTATTCCAATGTATTTCTTTATTTATTCCAATGTATTTCTTTATTGCAATGTATTTCTTTATTTATTCCAATGTATTTCTTTATTTATTCCAATGTATTTCTTTATTGCAATGTATTTCTTTATTTATTCCAATGTATTTCTTTATTTATTCCAATGTATTTCTTTATTTTATTTCTTTATTGCAATTAAACTATTTTTGTGCTTCTTTATAAATACAACTAAAAAGTTTATACTTAATGTATATAAAAAATGAATGTTAATTTTAAATAATTTTAACTTACTAAACTACTTTAGCATTATAGTAATTATTAGTAACCAAAAAATACACTAGATTAATCTATTAAAAAATTGCAGGCTTTTTTAATGTTGGTTTTTAGAAAGGGTGTTTACTTGAGATACTTTTAAACTATTTTGATTATTTGTTAAAGTCAAAAACTATTTTTTTCAAGATTTTGCGAATTTTTGACATTCAACAGTCAAACTACAACTAAAACGTTATGAAAGGTAAAAAGGTATTGCTTAATTTTAATTTAATAATTGAGCAAATATATATTTTACATAAAGGATTTACTTTAATTAATCAAACATTTATTTTACAAATAAGAATCCATAACTACCTGTGCATATAATCTTCTCACCATTATATAAAGGGCAATCTCCATTTATTGCACTTCCAGGTTTTTCATCAAAATTCTTAACAAAAACAAAAAAATAATAATGATATAATATAAAAGTAGACTTTTGTCTTGCCCTTACTTCAATATCTAGGGCGAGGGGATCAGAAAAAAATTTAATATGATAATAATAATCAAGAATATATTAACATAAATAATAAAAATTTCAAAACAACAGAAATCAAATATTACAATAATTATAATAACAATAATAGTAATAATAATAATAATAATAACAACAACAATAAAATATTGAGTAGAATATAAAAAATTATTCACATACAACTTATAAAACATTACATCTTTATCATCTTCATCAGCAGAATCATTGTTTGACATTCCAGCTTCAATAACATTTTCATACGACATCTTTAGCTCATATCTTGAGAATACATATATAAGTGAATAAGTAAGAAATTTAAACAAACTAGCAACAGTCCTTTTTAAAAATTAATGAAACTGTGCATACATTTTTTATTTAAATATTTTCCTAAAATATGATAGTAAAACTATATCTATATCAGTAAAATATATAACAACTTTATTTTTACTTAACATAATAATACAATAACCTGCAATCAGAAAATAATATATCTTATGAAGTATGTGTAGCACACGTTAGCAGATACCTATTGACAACAATAAATTTATCAAATCAATTTTTGAATTTATATAAGTTATTGGGCTCTTGACATATCAAAAGCTTTTTATAAAGTCTAGCATGCTGGTCTAGCATATTGGTCTTCTCCATAAGATTACTTTATATGGGGTATCTGGGAAAGTTATTGAAACTACTAAATCATTTTTTTCAAACTGTAATATCAAAGACATCCTCAGAGGCTAACACTCTTCCTCAATTCCTGTAACTCTAGGGTACTACAAGGTTTTATTCATGGTCTTGTATCATTTTTTATCTACATTAATGATCTTGCAGATAATCTTAGCTCTAAAGTGGTTACCTTGGTTACCTCTGATTTTCTGATGATGTTTCTTTATACTCTTATCTTGACAAAAAGTCATTTGATCACTTAAAACAGGCAGCCTTTTGAATCTCTCTTCTTAAACAGTCAGAGGTTGTAATAGCTTGTGAATTTTAGCTCCAGAAAAACTCATTTATTTAATACAACAAATTATTGGAATACTGCCAATATTCCTATTGATGAATGACAACACTCTTAATGAGTGTCTTCTGTAAAGAGAGATTGCCTCTCTTTATTATGCTTGCCATTTTCTTACTCCTATAATCATTCACCACCTCTACAAAACTTTTATTCACCCCTGCATATAACACTCTTGATGCCCTTTGATATCTTCTTGACAAATACCAAAAATGTATTTTAAAAATAGTTGGATCTGCTCTTCCTGCCAAGCATGAGACACTATCCTATATACACAAATATTATCATGGTTGCTGTTCAAATGAGAAGCAACAATAATATTTTATTTTAGGTTTTCTGTCAACTTTTAACTTTCTCTCTAACTTTTCATCAATCTCATCTCGTGATTCCACTAATCACATCTTACCTGATGAAGCCGACAAATTAATTGATCGATTGCTTGACATTTACATCACTCTAGCTTTTGTATCTAAAATGATTTCCTGCTTAGACTTTTCTTCAGATAAGAAACCAACACTCTTTGATTGCTTGGAGGGGGCATTTGAGCTTGAAAAAGATCTTATTTCTGCTATAGCATGGGGCTCTCAGTGGCTGGTAAACTTTAACTCAAATAAAACTCAATTTTTTCAGCTTACTCACACAATCTAGATCTTCCTATATTTATAAACCGTAATGTGTTTGTAGAGTCATTTACCCTTTTGTCTTCTAGGATCAACTCGGAGTTTTAATATATTTTGGAAAGCATACACCAAACCCATTGCAAAATTAGCATCTGCTAAAGTTACATCTCTTTAACGTGCTTGACAGTTTCTTAATATTGCTTCTCTTTCTCTTTTCTATAATACTATAATGGGCACTGCTCTAAAGAGCTAGCGTCTCTAGTGCCATTTACTAAAATTTATTCTCATGTTACTCATTCAATAAATTCTCATTTATAAAATATTGAAAGACAGCTCTCATAACTGGGACTAATCTGTAATGGCATCAAGATCACTTCAAACTGATAAAATATCTGGATCATTTTTAATCATAGCAAAGTGCTGGGTATTATCTGCAAAAAGCTTACAAGAATTCTTGAATATCTATGGCACATGCTTAATATATTAAAATTAATAGTGATAAAGATTCACTTGTTACTTGTGCCTAGTCAGAATAAACACTATCTTACACTACTCTTTGTCTTAAAAATTAAAATAAATTAAGTTAATGTTGTTGATAAATTGTTGATAAAATCTAAGCTATTACTTGTACATCAAATCCATAAAAATTAAGCTTAATGACTAATAAATATTTAATGTTCAGTAGTTTGTGGATAACTGAACCTGAGAAAAAAAAAATAGAATGGCCAACTGCATGTGATATTTCTAATTTGTTTCAGTACAAGACAATGAAAATAAATCAAAGAGAAAAATTGCTAAATGCATTAAAAACAAATTCAGCATCATGTGATGACAATATGATGACATTCAAGCATTGATCAAAAAAATTTTGAAATCGATTTCATATAATCTCACTCTAATTTTCACCAAGTCACTAAAAAATGGAAAAGAGATTTTTCAAAAATTAATAATCTCAAAAATTTCAGTTATAGGTAACAACTAATTCTTAAACAACAACTTGGCTTCAGGAAATACTTGTGAGTTGAAACTGCTATACTAACTGCTACAAACTACAAACAAACATGGTATAAAGCAATTGATTATGGTGAATGCATAGGTACTCTGTTAATAGACCTATCCAAAGCATTTAGCAATATACCACATCCATCAATTACTTCAAGCAATTGCATAAAAACTGAAAAAATTGTTCCAGAATATCAAAAAATACAGTGAAAAAATAAAATTGACTATTAACTTAAGACCCAATTAATTATTTTCAAACCTCCTAGTAAGCAAATGCCTGAAGATTATCAACTTCTATTAGACGAATTAACAATAAAGCCTGTGAAGTTATTACTGGTAAAATTGGACCAGCATCTAACATTCAACAAGCAAATTGAGTCTGTAGAAAGAAAATGCCACGCCTCTTTGAAAATGTGGGAAAGAGCAGTAGCAAGTCTACTCAGAAAATTATTAAAATTAACTTTTTATGGAATGGTGCTCAGTTATATTAAACTTGTTAGTTCACTTTACATTTCACTACATAACACTTACATAAAGAAAATAGTACACCATACAAAAAACAAACCAAAAGAATCAGTTGCTATGTACCAAGAAACTCTCATGCAGCACCATTCATAGAGGAACTTAATTTTAAAGCACTAACAAATAGAAGAACAGATCTGAAATTAATTAAATCAATTGTTGAAGGAAAATGTCAATCTACTTTAATGACTTTACCCAAGTAAACAATGATGGTCAATTAAAGATAATAGTATTGAAAAATACATGTGGTAAAAAAAGATTTTGGGTCTCTAGAGTCATTTTGTACGATAAGGAACAAAGAAAACAGAGAAAAAAAGACTAAAATTAAAAAGTACAAAAATACAAAATGACAAAAGTACAAAAAAATAAAAACAATAATAATTATTTAGTAAAGATTAACCTTCCAGCCGCAGAAGATATATATATGTATATATATATATATATATATATATATATATATATATATATATATATATATATATATATATATATATATATATATATATATATATATATATATATATATATATATATATATATATATATATATATATATATATATATATATATATATGTATATATATATATATATATATATATATATATATATATATATATATATATATATATATATATATATATATATATATATATATATATATATATGTATATATATATTTTAAAAATGGAATACGCGTTTCATCAAAGATGATAAAAGAACAGTCAGTTTCACACAACATATTAATGATGTAATTATTACATAAATATGTAATAAAATAACCCAAAAAAATCATAGTAGATCCTATCCCCTATATTTCAAAATACACTTTTGTTACAGCTGACTTTTTTTATGACATTTTCCAAGAAGTATTTACGCAAATGAATCAACAATAAATCCGTAAAACTAACATATTTTTATTTAACCTTTGAGGAAAGCCGTGATTACTGATTATGATTTTACGCTAAATAGTAGTCTTTCACACAATATTTCATTTTAAAATTCAATTTTTTTAAATTAAATTAACACAGGCGATAAAAAATGTTTTTGTTTTATGGGAAATACTTTTACAAAATAAATGTTAAGTTAAATGTTCCAATCCCAATATTTACTGCGAAACAAATTTTTCGAACTTTTACTTAGTAGGTATTTAAAAATTTTAGTGTTGTGGATAAACATGGCAGCTAAAAACTTTTGACCTGTTTTGGAATCTACTGAGACAACGACCTTGCATGAGATGATGAGAAATCTTCGCTACGGCTCATGAACCTTTAAGCGATGGTGAATAACATAATTCCCTTTTTTTTATATGGATCCGTTAGGAGCTTCTGATGCATTAGGGGTAAGACCATAGCACGACCATTGTATAGTTTCAGATTGTATAAGTAGGTATTTACACCGGCTAGGAATTTCATTCATGTTTATTTATTATTACTTAATTGTAAAGGGATACAATCTAAATAATATAAGATATGGTTAGTCTTATAAGTTATATATAGACTATTTTTATAATGTTTTGAAAATAAAAATTTTTTAGTGTTTTTTTATATATTTGATATTTAGTATCATGCACAGGTATGGTACCAACTATCAAATACAAACATAAATACTGCATTAAATAAAAATATTTAAAATAAATGCAGTAAAATTTAGTATATATTTATTTGATGTTTTAAAAAGTATTTTGTGGTTAGCAATAATTTTATAAGTGAAATATTTATTTATATTTTAGTATAAAATTTTATAAAATAATAAACAACAACAATAATAATAAAAATTATAGTTTCTTGTATTTTACAATTTTATATTTTACAACAGTATTTTTATATTTTATATTTTACAACAGCAGTATTATATTTTTTATATTTTACAACAGTATATATTTTATATTTTTTATATAACTTGTTTATATTCTATGTTTTAATTTTGTCTTTTATATTTTTCATAGTTATATAAATATTTTTATATTTTACAACATTATTTTCTTTATATTTTATAACAGTATTTATAAAATGATAGTTTCTTATATTTTAAGAAACTATAATTTTAAAACTTATATTTTTAAATTATATTATCATCAATATAATACTTAAGGAAATTTATATTGTAGTATATATACTTATAGTTAAAATTATTTATGTATATATATATATATATATATATATATATATATATACATATATATATATATATATATATATATATATATATATATATATATATATATATATATATATATATCAACAAGATATTTATTTTCCTCAAATTATGTATGTAGTGTGCATGTATTTATATACATGTAAGTGTATATATATATATATATATATATATATATATATATATATATATATATATATATATATATATATGTATATATATATATATATATATATATATATATATATATATATTTTTTTTTTTGTTTGTCATATGTAATATTTTTACAGAACAGAACAATATCAATATTATATAGAAAAGAATATGTCAATATTATATAGTAAAGAATATATAATTTTTTTCATCAGATTTTTGTTTCTTCTACAGTGGATTTTTTTTTTGTATTACTTATAAACCTAATGTTATTTTAGCTTGACCCACAATCAACTAATGGTAATGGAAACTTAGGTAAGTGCTTATATATTTTTTTTAAATATGTACTTTTTTTGTAATTTTAAAAAAATTTATTATAATGTGTAATGATAGTTAAAGATTAGCTAAACATAAAATCTTGTCCTCTTAATCAAAATGATCTTTACTGGCTTGCCATTAGTTGTTAATTAAATACTGTAAAAGTTTGTAGCTTGTTAATTAAATACTGTAAAAGATTGTAACTTTATAATAATGAACTAATTATTATGCTATAAAATAAAACCCAATAGGATGCTCTTTTTATACAATTTTTTTTTAATTAAAAAACAAACTTTAATTATAATTGTTTATAATGTTGATCAGTGCAGTAATTTCAAGCGCTATTTGACTTTCTCCCCTACCCCTGTTTTTATGATTGATTATGATAGAATACATTATACTGATTCAGAATCATGTATAAACATAGGTCTGAAAACTTGAGGAAAGTACTCTAATGTGATATTAAAGAATAAAAAATTATACTAAAAGCGCTAATATTCTACCATCTTTTTTAAAAACATTTTAACACTGTTTTTAAAAATTAAGAAATTATTTTTTTAATTATGCAACCCAGTTTTTATTCTTGTCAAAATTTAACATATTTAAACTTTTTAAGATGTACATAAATTGACTGACAAATAGGGATTGGCATAAATACCAGGAATGTGGAGTACCAAAAGGACTCTGGCTTTATATCTCTATTTTTTCCTGGTTTCTGGTTTTCAAAAGCTCTGAACATGTTGGTTGACTTTTGATCTATTATATAAAGAAAACTCATGAAATTTAATGACTTGAAACATATTGTTTTTAAGCCCGGAGTCCCGGAGTCCTTGCTGCCATTATACATAAGGACTCCGGTTTCAAAAAGTAATTGTTCCTCTAAGCAAAAAGTCTTAATTTTTTCACTAATAGTAGTCCATAAGCTTTATTTATATTATTAAAGCTCCTGGATACCAAAAACTAGGAAGAAGTAATCTTTTTATGACATTCGAATCCAGAGTCCTTTTTGAGGCTCCACATCTGGAAATGTACATACATCGATTTTACATGTACATACATTTTGGTCAGGGTTAGAGTTAGGGTCAGAGATCAATCAGAAATGCATTTTGCATTAAAGTGTCAATAGAAACCAGGCTTTTTTAAAGTTGGTTTCTATTGACAAAAAGAAAATCATTAAAAATTATTCTATTATTAAAAAGGAAATTAATTATAATTGGGTATAAAAACGATGGCGAATATTAGCATTTTTAATGTGGATTTTTATACTTTAACATCAAATTAAAGTATTTTCTTCAAGTTTTCAGATCTATGTTTTTATATGATTCTGAATCAGTATAATGTATTCTATTATAACCAATCTTAAAAATAGGGGAGGGGAGTTTAATAGTGCAATAATTTCATGTTTCATTAAAGTAATAAATACGATAACATGTTGTTTATTAAATTTTTGCACTTTTTATAAAGCTATTTTATAAAACTTGATTTAACTGGAAATATTTAATAAATTTTAACAGAAATTTGCTTTAGATGATGTCCTCAGAAATACACGATTAAGTTCAAGCAATCATGAAGACATTAGAGATACAAATATCATGGTTAGTTGGACTTTGAGATTTTTCCAAACTATTGTGTTACTTATGATATATCAGTGAAATAATTCAATAAAAATTAAGTAATAAAAAAAAGTTTTCAAAAATGAATATTTTTTTCAAAACTGGCAATTTTGATTCAATTTGAATCATTTATAGGTTAAATTGTGACGGGTAACATAATAATAATAAATTCTGTTTATTAAATTTTATAAGATTTTTTTATAGTTTCATGCTCCACTTTCTGACATTGATAATGATGTGCTTGGTTTGTACAATATTGATAGCAATACACTGCACCACAGTGAGATAATGTCACATCATAATGAAATGGTTTCCAATGAAAGTGAGTTATCTATGATCAGTGAAACAAATGACATTAGTCTTGAGCCAGAAGACAATAGTCATGCATTTGAAAGGGTATTTTTTATTTTTTATTTTTTGAGTTATAAATCGAATATTACATTTTTAGATAAAATTAATTTTATTTAAAGCTTTTATTTTTTAAGAATTAATTATTTTTATTTTAATTAATACTTTAATCAAGAAATTATATTTTTTCAATTAAAAACAAAAGGGCAGTTTGCATACAACAAATCATTGGTTTTTACATACACAAGAATTAATTTTTTTTATTTTTTTATTAATGCTTTAGAATAAAAATAATTGTCCTTAAATTTATATTTTAAATAAATAAAAAATAATAATAAAATAAATAATAAATAAAATTTATATTTTCTATTTTAAATAAATAAAAAATGGGAGTTTGCATGCAATAGATCTGCGGTTTTTAAACAGAGCTTTAAATTTATTTAATTTTTTTGTTTGCTTGTTTAGGATGAACTTATTTTTGAAGAGAATAATGATTTGTCTCCTGAATCTTTTGATGGAAATGGTAAGAATTGATTGACTTTATTATTGCATTAATAACACTATACAACAGTGTTGTGTAAACACCATTATTGATTTTAAATTTTGAGTTGTAAATTTAAATGTAAAAAAGTTGTAAATTTAAATTTAAAAAAATGTCATTTCTTTTTACAATTTCTAATCTTCACTCAAAGGACTTTTTAAAAATATGCATCATTTAATAAGTGTTTAAAAGGTAAATTACAAAGTTAAAAAAGGTTTTAATTATTATAAGGTTAAAAGAGGTTTTTATTATTAATATAGGGTTTAAAAAGATTTCTGTTATTAAAAGAGGTTTAAAAAGGTTTCTGTTATTAAAAGAGGCTTAAAAAGGTTTCTGTTATTAAAAAAGGCTTAAAAAAGTTTCTGTTATTAAAAGAGGTTTAAAAAGGTTTCTGTTATTAAAAAAGATTTAAAATTGTTTCTGTTATTAAGTTTTGCATAGAAATAATAACTCTTTTGCTATAGAAAATTTTATATCATTATACAATTTTCTTTATGAACAGAATAAAACAGTGTCCACCAAAATAATCATTGCAGGTTATTTTAATAGGCACTATTAAAATTAGTTAAAACCTGTGACAAAAGATACATGACAAATTATATTTTAATTTAGATGATAAGTAATTTTAGTAACTGTTATATAATTATTATTTCAATTAAATTTTCTCACAGCTAGGGATATGGCATCCAGTAGCATAGAGTTGGATATAACTTTTTCATTAACCATCTGGTTAACACATGGAATGCCTTGCCAGACAATGTCATAAATGCCTATTCAGTCATTAAATTTAAAGTAAACTTAGACTACCATCTAAAATAGTTACTGCAGCACATAATTTTTTGTGGCTGCTTTACTACTTCTGCTTTGCTAGTTAATTTAATTTGCTAGTTAATGAGCTTGCAGTTCAAGTATTGCTTCGTGTAACTTAATATACTAATACTAAAATACCTATTTCAACCTCTATATATTTATACGTGTGTTTGTATTTAAGTAAACAATGTCAGAATATAACATGCAATTTTTGAAATATTTTTTTATGAGGTCTTGCCATTTACTTTTATTTGAAAATAAGTAAATAAAATTAAAGTAATTTAATTAAAAGAAAACTTGTTACTTATATTTGTGAATTATTTTTCTTGATACAACAAGTTATTTAATGTTTTTTGTTTTGTTTTTTTCTGTAAAAATGATGTTTAGGAGAAATTACTTTGTTCACCAATGTTTTATTTGCATAATAAAACTTTGTTTGTATCATAATTTATCATAAGACTTTAATCAAAAAATTGTTTTGATGTTGATTTACAACTTTGCTAAATTTAACTGTCATCAGCCATTTTTCAAACTTTTTATTGTCATCTAAATCTTTACTATTTGTTCGTATAATGAATTGAAAAATAATAAAAGCTAACAATTGGTTTAACTAGTCAGAATGATCTTTTTTCTTTGGGTGTCAACATTTTTATTTTATGATAAATTAAATTTTAAGATGACATTAAATTTTAAACTGATCATGGTAACGCAATGTATAATACACATTATAATAACACCATTAATGTAAAATTATTCCTTATTATTATTATTAATCAAATGGCATGAAACTTTAGGAACTTTTTTTTTTTTTAATTTTCAAAAAACCAAGGAAACTATAAAAATACATTTTTCTTTCATAAATATGATATGTTGTGATATACCACATATCATAAATTATGCAAAATACAGCAAATGTTTTGTGCTTTTGACCACTTGACTTGAGCAATGTTATAAAATGTTATGCTTGTTTTTTCAGCAACATGTGAATACTGTGGGGTTGTTGGAGTTCAGGATTCATTTTACTCAAAAAGCAAACGTTTCTGCAAAATGGAATGCTCAAAAAAGTACTCAGCACTATTCCAAAAAAAAGGACCTGGTACTAGGCAACTGAATCTGCCACAAAAAAGAGGAAAAAAAGAAAGACCTCAGTCTAAATTAAAAAAGGTTAATTTTTTGTTTGTATTTTTTATTTTCTAATAACCATGGTTTAAGATATCACATTTTTTTATTTTTAAATGCAGATTAAACTAGAACAAGCAAGTGACCCAGGTATGTTGTCAACATTAGAGTCAAGTTTGGAACAAGTAACGATTAATGAGTTCAAATCTCAAGCTAGTGAGTCCTAATAATTTCATTTTTTTTTTTCCACAATGGTTTTGCGTTATAGCATTTAAAAGATGTTTGAATTTTTATTGCATCACTTCTTTTTATAAATAAGGTAGATGATGAGAGAAAGAAAAATTGTTTGTATGTAATTAAACTTTAATTGAATGAGTTTGATATCATAATTGGGGAAATCATTTCTGAATAAATTTTTTTTGTTCGCAATAAAAATATAACCTAGTATTTTTATTATTTTATATATGTTTATACCAATCTTGAAATTTTTTTAAAAAGTTTTGAGATTGGTATAAACATATATAATTTTTTTTTTCTATATTTTATATAAAATTCTATAAAATTTTATCATTAAATAAATTTTTTATGAGTTTTATGTAATTTTTATTATGTAATATTATTATTATGTATTATGTAAAATTTATTATGTAATATTTATTATGTAATTTTTAAACAAGTTCATTGTGTTTTGTGAATAAATTTCACATTACATTAAATGTCATTAGCAATATAAAAATATAACTGATTTGAATCAGATGGGTGAATTAACTCAAAAAACTACAAAGTTACTGCAACAAAAATAGCAAAGTTTTTTTATAGAACTCTCAAAGTTATTATGTTTTGAATTAGACTTGTGGAAAAAATCAATTTATTAAGAACTCTCAAAGTTATTATGTTTTGAATTAGGCTTGTGGAATAAATCAATTTATTAAGAGGTACACAGATTTTTGAAATGTTTTAGCTGATTAAAAACATTAAAACACATCATGTGATTTGATATATAAATAAAATAAATTTCTGTTAACCAATCATTGACTTTATTATTGATGACTAATCAAACACAACAATATGAACCATGACATAATAAACAAAATTGGTTAATAAAGGAATACTTTTTCATAAGCAAAAAAAAACAACAACTTGAAAAAACAAACATAAAAGCTGCTTGGTTTTTGCTGCTCCAGCTTCACCAAAAAAACAACAGGTTCAACATGGCTCTGGCTCTACAAGCTTGTTTTGAATATTATTTGTATAAATATGTTTTTCACTATGTTTTGTACTATTTTTATAAACAGATGCAAATCCAGAAATTACAAATACAGAATAAAACTTATTGTTATATACCAAAAGTTTTTAAAAAGACAAGCATTTATTAGTGATACTCGTGGTCCGAAAAGTACACAGGTTAATTTTAAAATTAGCTTTCCCCCTATTAAATGGCCAAATAATCAAAAGTTGTTTTGATCTGGCCAGGTTATTTTGTATAGACATCATTTTAAAACACAATGAAATCTTTCTTCATCAAAATTTATACCCAGAAATATAAGAATAAGTGATTGATATGGCTTTAAATAATATACTTTTAATATCGCTAAGTGGCTTTGGCCCATCACAATTTGCCATTGTAAACACTTAGGTCGCCTCTTGAACCGATAGCTTAAGTATTTTTGTCAAGGCTTGTACATGTATTTTGGAAGTTTAAATAGATGGCTTCATTTATAAAATAAATGTAATAATAAACAGAATTTTGATGTTTGTTATATTTATGTTTTTATAAATTTGATTTTTGTAAAATGTACAACCAGGGTGTATTCACTAAATATTAGATATTTGTGATTTGAAACGTTGAGAATGTTTTTAAATGTTAAGGGTTTAGTTTAGATTATTTTTGATGTGATTTATTGAATCAGTTGTGAAGATCTTATGAATCAGTTTTAATAAAGTGGTCTGTTAAGTTCATTTTGATATTTTTGTACATCCTGTAGAAAGTCCAAAATTTTACCTATATAATTATTAACAAAATATTTGTATTCTGTAAAGTTCTGTAAGTTTAAATGTATAGCTTTGTAAAGTTTCAAATTTTCCTTTTCCATTACATCATAATCAAAAGATTATTACATCAACATAGTTAAAAAAGATCATGCATAATTTCTTTAAACTAAAGATTCTATTAAGCTCAACAGTAGTAAAGTTAATGTTGCTACATTTAGCTAAGCTACATAAAAAAACTAGCTATATAATGGCTTCCAGGTATTATAAGTTCATTTTATTGGAGTGGATGCCTGTGTTATAAGTGAATTTGAATTTTTTTTAAAAAAAGGATTAAACTTTTTCATTATAAGATGTTTTGTTTGTTTGTTTGTTTTTTTTGTAGATTTTTCTACTAGAAACGAAGAAAATAATGAAGATGGTGGAAATTGGATTGATCAGGAGTTTAATTGGAAAGATTATTTGGAGCAGACTGGTGACAAACCTGCTTCAGAACGGCTTTTTAAACATGTAGGGAAATTTAATTTTTTTTCTTTTTTTTTTATTCAACAAATTTGCTTTCAATGTTTACTTCTAATAACAGTTGCAGGTGATATTATTTACATTAAGAAGAAAATATAAAGAAGAAGAAAGAAGAAGAAAATATAAAGAAGAAGAAAGAAGAAGAAAATATAAAGAAGAAGAAAGAAGAAGAAAATATAAAGAATATCAATCCTGTTATCTGAATGCTTAAAAAATTTGAAAGAGATGCAATCTTCTGACAAAGCATTAAAGCAGCTAGAACAAGTCTAACTACACTTACAAAGTGTTATTAGATCTTGTCTTTAAGAAAAAAGAGAAAAATTAAGACAAAAAAAGCAACCTTAATGGAATTTCATGCAGAGATGTATAAGAGATTTATAATTAAAGCAGGGGTGGAGCAGGTGGTTAGAGTTCTGGCTCAGAAGTAAAAGGTTTAGGATTTGATACCAGCTTTAGACCGATAAGCAACATTATAGAAGAACTTCCTGGTTAAATGATTCTTCATGGTGCTCAGTGATAAGACCATTAGGTCATATTAGAACACCTTAATAACTTAAAAAAAAAAGCATCAATACTAATTCTAAGCATTTCAGTTTTTTTTATTTTATTTTTACGTTTTTTGTTTCCGGTTAAGATAATGTCATATATACATATGGTTTTAAGCTTACATAATGTCATATATTACCATAAATGTCAGTTAAGATTAGTAGTTGTGTTACTTCTGTCTAAATAGATGTCTATATAGCACTTGTTGAAAATTGGAAAATAAAGTCTGTATATAGAACTATTGCATATCATACAGTTTTCTACAGCTAAAAAAAATTATTTACTAATAGTATCTATTTTCATAGGCAACAGTAACAATATTTACTGCTTTAATTTAAACTTTGCTTTATTTACTTTTAAAGTTTTTTTGTACTTTTTGATAAGTTTGAAATTTTCTATTATTAAGTAATAAATTATGATTGAAATATGATGAAAAAAATTTTTTAGGTGGTAAAAGCTCCAAGGCTATCAGAAGTTCATCATGGTTTGAAAGTTGAAGTAATAAATGATCATTCTGAACAAAACAATGACTCAGATGTGTGCTTTTGGGTTGCCACTGTCATCAATACAGATTGCAACATGATGTTGTTAAGATATTGTGGTTGTCCTGATGATACTTCAGATTTTTGGTTCGATGTACGTTCAAAGCATTTGCACCCAGTTGGTTGGTGTTATAGAGCTCGATATCGTCTTGTACCCCCTGCAGGTCTGTACTCTTTATTATATCAATTACTATTAAATATTAAAAACAATGTTCTTTAAAAATCTATAATATATAAAACAAATAAATATGTTTCATAAATGTTTTTCATTTACATGGTTCGATCTTGAAACTTCACTTATAATATCAGGGCAATCAAATTAAAAAAAAATTTTTAATTTTTTTTTCTTCTTACTTTTAGAGATACGAAACATAATATCAGATTGGCAAAAATATATATTTCAAGAGCTTTCAGGTTGTCGTACTTTATCTGCAGAATTTATGGAACAAGTACAGAAAGGACATTATAATAAATTTGAGATTGGGAGTAAAGTTGAGGTGTGTGATAAACGGAACTTGCTATCAATGTGCGTTGCAACAATTATTGATATAGTTGGAGATAGACTGCGGTTGCGCTATGATGGTTTGGATGATGAGTTTCCTAGTGATTCATGGGCTCATTTTTTATCTAGTGACATTCATCCTGTTGGTTGGTCTCAATTAGTAGGACACACATTATCTCCACCAATAGGTACGCTATTCAGTATTAAAAAAAATTTATTTCCAAGATGATTTAGAAAGCATTGTATCATTATGTATAACAATTTTAAATATGCTTTTCTTATTTGTAATGTGTTGTAATTTTCTTGACTTTAATTGTCTGTATTTAAAACATACTATTGCGTAATCTGAGCATAATATTTCACAAAAAAAAACTTCTTTTTTTCTTTTCTTTTAAACAACTATAAGTTTTATGGAAGTTGCAATCATGAGGTAATCGTAAGATTGATAGACTCTAGTTTTTGTGACAGCATTATATATATATATATATATATATATATATATATATATATATATATATATATATATATATATATATATATATATATATGCATGTATGTATGTATATATATATATATATACATACATACATATATATATATATATATTTTTTATGCGGTAGTGGTGTAGTGGTAGAGCGCTCGCTTCATAAACGAGTGGTTCCGAGTTCGATCCCCACCACGTCCCTGGTAGTACCGCGCTCAACTTGTTTCTCCGCGCAGTGGCCTTGTTCGTCAAGGTTCGTGTTTCGGAGTTATAGAGTTGAGAGAGGGTTATAGCCACAAAATAAGTAGCCTCCTCGTTTGTAGTGGCCTTCTCGGCCTTGAGGAGGTGAAGTAAAATAAAAAAAAATAAAAAATAAAATATATATATATATATATATATATATATATATATATATATATATATATATATATATATATATATATATATATATGTATATATATATATGTATATGTATGTATGTATGTATGTATGTATATATATCAGGGTTGGTAAAAACCCAGGGTTTTTTAAAAAAAACCCAACCCAAATGGTTTTTTTTGGGTTTTTTTGGGTTTTATGGGTTTTTTGGGTTTTTTTAAAAATCGATCAAAATACCAAATTTTTATAATTGTATGAGTACAATAATTTTTTTTTTTAATTTCATAAATTCACCTCCCTATTGCTCCAATGACCATTTCAGTCAAGGGAGCAACTCATTTTTTAAAAATATTTTGTCTCAATCCTTAACATTACCATTTTTACTAACAAACAACATTAACAACTAAAATTTTTAAACAAAGGCGCTGTGTGGAGAAATAGATTGAGACAGTAATTTCAGCAGAAGTAATTTGAACCCCAACCTTCTGGTTGCGAGCCAAATGTTTTACTACTAGTCTACTAGCACATTTTACCTATAGTGCAAAAAGGGACTCCATCAACTATAAATGATGTTAATTAATTGCTCTAAATTAAAAACACGTTCAGAACATCTTTGACAAAAAAAAAATCTGCGTAAAAATTATGACAATTGAGTTATTCAAAGTTGGTAAGACAATATAAATGTTGCAAACTAGTTTTTTTTACTAACATGTTCAAAAACTACTTTGCACAAGTTTACAACATGTAATCAACAAGTTTGCAACACGATGTTGCAACCTTATAAGTTATTATCAATCAGGATGACTATGAACACTTTTTAAACATTTTTGTATCATAGAAGAAAACTGCTAGCCTAATCACTACATTTTTTTTTATCAGAACATTATACTGTCTAGCTTCTTGGAAAAGTTATCGGCCTGATCAACTGGACTGGCAAAAAATGGATTTTTGCCTAAACTTTGTTTCTAAATATATATAAAGTAAATTTGTAAAGAACCATTACAGTGTCTTCGCCACCAAGTTTTTTTTTTTTCCTTGAAGATGTTTTACCGGCTCAGTTTTGCAATGCAAATTGCAAACTGAATCAAAGTAACACATTATATAGCTCTATTGTGTGTGTTTCTTCACCTTTTAGCAACTTGATACTGATGTTAATTTTCAACCCGCTGTTCATAGTCACCCCTGTTGGTGGTACATGTTGTAAACTTGTAGCTGATGCAAAATGTTCAAAACCTGTTAAATATTCAAAAGACAGATGAGCACGAGTGTCATTTTTACCAACAAATCTTGTCTTTGTGAAATGCATACAAGTTTTCAACATGTTCTCTCATTGAATGAGCAAACATGTTGCAAGCTTGCTTACACATAACTTAATTTTTTTTAAGTTTTAAAGTTGTATGCACTGAAGGACAAATCTAGTAAACTGTAGCATTTTTTTTGCCTGACAACTTTCCATTTCTAAACTGTAAATAAAGTTTAATTTTTATATATAGTATTTTGCTTGTGGCTTTGTATTTTTTTTTTTTTTTTTGCAGTTAACAACATAAGCTTTAAAAAATAAAAAATAAAATACCAATATAAAAGAATACAGACATTCGAGAGGAGAATAAAGATACTAAATAACTAGTAATGTCTTGAAATTTAGTTAATAGAATGATTTTTATTTCCTTTATAAGTATTTAACTAATTTAATGTTTTAATACATATTTCAATAACATTTATAATAACTTGCTAAATGTTTTAAAAAAATAATAAATAACCAACTTGCTACAAAAACAGATTGATCGATTTTGGGTATATCCTAAAGACCATTATGTATATAAATACAGTGTTTACAAGAGTAATTACAGTATAAAGGTTGCACTTGGTGATAATAAAGCATTTATAAGTGTTAAAATCAGAGTTATCAGTTGTAAAATAGGTCATTTTTAAAAAAACCTAAATATATTTTGGGTTTTTTTGGGTTTTATTGGGTTTTTTTAAGGTGGGTTTTTTTGGGTTTTTTTGGGTTGGGTTTTTTTGCCAACCCTGATATATATATATATATGTATGTATGTATGTATATACAGGCCAGACTCCCCTAAAACGGTTTACAGGAGCAATTTACATCTCTTGCAAAAAAAAATTTATTTTAAAAGTATAATTATCATTGTAATTTAATTGAAAAATATGAAGTCAAAGAAATTTAATTCATCGGATAATAAACAGGTACGGTTTTTGCAAAAAAAAAAATTTAGTGTCTAAAGAATTTTTTCACAATCCAATAAATGATGCTTGTTATGTGTATATTATTGCAGGCTTGGACAAGAATGGTGTGTGATTGCACTCTGTAACTGACCACCCTATTTTTTTTTTGTTTTCTTTATAACTTGACCAGCTATTTTGATGTTTTAACAGTTTAAATGCAATAGAAAAAGTGCAACGTTACAAATAACTTTTATTCATTGATCTTTTTTAATGTTTTTATTTTAAGAAAAGGCTTTAAATAAAACCATAAAATTATGATAATGGTTGTTTTCATAAACACATGTGTAAATTTTTAAAAGATGTTATAAATTTTTTTATGCATGTATTTTTTATGACAAATTTAAACGTTTGAAACTATTTTTTTATTCTTCTCAAAAATCTTTTAAACTATTATTTTTTGAAAGAGTTTTTTTTTAAGTTACTTTAATTTATGAGTAAGTTCAAAACCTTTTGTGACTTCTAGCTTTTACACATTTTATGTGAATTATACAAGAATATAAAACAACTTTATTTACTTATAAAAGCATGTATTTTGTTGTAATGGAAAGTTAATGGAAAAGTTTTGAAACATTTTGTAATGTTCAAATGATTAATTTTTATAATCAAACTTATAATTTTTTTAAATCTTTTAAACATTTTATTTTTGTAAAAAAAATTTTTTTTTTTCATTTATGATAGAAATGGATTCAAATCTTTTATAATAATTTTTAAATTCGTTACATGAAGTGCTTATTAATAAAGTTGTAATGCTCAAATTAGGCACATTTTATTTATTTATTTTTTTTCTATTTTTACGAATAAAAGTCAGTGCTTCACCTATCTAAGCCTGAGGATCAGCAAATTAATTATTTTCTTAAAAAAGACAAAATAAATTCGTTTTCTGAATTCTATCCTAGCAAAGAATTACACAAAAAGGTATGAAAATATTGTAATATTTTGGCAAAAAGATAAATTCATATATATTTTTATGTCGAAGGATTTTAAAAAGAGCTTCATGACAATAATTGTTTACAATAAATATACATTGTGTTCATCACTGACTTTTTCCGCTTTTAAACAGTGCGGTCGTGGCACAGTGGTTAGACCGCTTGCTTTATAAGCAGGAGATCCAGGTTCGAAACAAGCTTTGGACGTATTTTGTGTCATGGTAAGGAAGGAGGCGTGAACTTCCTGGTTATATGCTTTTCCGCTGTGCTCTGTAATAAGACCGTTAGGACTTTTTGGAGCACCTAAATTACAAATAAATAATTAAAAAAAACATGGTATTAGCGTTTTAAGCAATATATTGAATCCCAACAATGGCTTAGTCTACTACTCACAGTTTTTTAAAGCTAATAAAGTTAATAATTATAATCTGCATGTTAATGATATTGAAAAGGTGACTATTGTTTCAGAATATGAATTTAAAATCAATGATGTTATCAAGTAAAAAAAACTGAATTTTATTACAACACAATTTAAAATATTGTATAACAATAGTTTCTCTATAGCTGATTATTGCTTTGCTATTGAGTCTTTTTATAACTCCAACTACAATCAACTTATTAATTTTTTAGTGCTTCCAAGTAAACGAAAGCTGCAGTCTATAATTTCTGCCACAAACATCTATCTTGTATTACAAAAAAGTTTACATTTAAAAAAGTAAAGAACGATTATCAGAAAAATGCTTTTTAGATAGTTGATGAGGTAATAATCAGACCAACAGTTGCTTATTCAGACAGTTTTATATGGGATGGCAAAAAGTGATCCAGAGTCTAAAGCAACTCCTATGCTGTTTAATGATGAAGTGCTTATATGGTGGACCTAGTTTAATGGTTTCTGTTGCACCTGTTCACAAACTAACATCAATGTACAATTCAGTGTTGTAACTGCTGTTATAGTTGAAAAAAATGGTGCCATTATTTTAGGATCTGTAACAGATAATCAGGCCTTGTTTTAAAGCATTATGCATAGAGTGATTTACGTATGCCTTAAACAATTTTATGTAAGCAATAAACAATTTCGGCTAAGCAACTTTTTATCATTTTTTAACTTTTAAATTGTTCAATACGCAGTAATGAAGAAGTAATGAATTTTTAAAAGTCGGATTAACTTTTGAATGACAATTATTTAAAATATTTGTTACTAAAGTTTGAATGACAATTATATTTGATATAAGCGCTATTTACTAATGAAAAAAACTCAAATAAAATAAAAGTTTATTTTTATTTTTTTATTTGATTGTAATGATTGATTTTTTAAGCTTAAAGCAAAGATCATAAAAACATAATTTAATTCTGATAAAAAATTAAAACTAATTTAGTAAAAAAATGTAATTTTATTCTAATAAAAAAAATATAATTTAATTTTGATTTTAAAAATATAATTTACTTTTGATTTTAAAAATTTTTTTAAAATCAAAAGTAAATTATATTTTTAAGTTAATGCTTGGGTTTAACTTAACTGTCAAATCTATTTAAAAATATTATTAAATATTCAATTTTAAATTTTATTTGTTCTTAAAAAAAAATCAGCTAATTTTTATTGCAATTGTTTATTCAGTTTTCCTTCCTAAACATTTTTTTTTTTACTCAAACTTTAAATAAATAGCTGCATTAAAAATTTGCACAAAATGTAAGTTAAACTTTTTTTTTATAACACAAGTTTAATCGCAACAATTATTTTTTAATAAATGATATATACAGCGATATAATTTTAATAATAAAAAAAATAAACTAATATACTTTTAATAAATAAAGTAAATAAATTAATGTGATTTTTTTATTTGTTACTTGCTATTTTTTTTTTAAATAAAAAATCATTTGTAGTTGCAAAGCCACAATTAGAAATTTAAGAAATAATCAATTTAAAAACTCAAAAATTTAACATATTTTAATTCATTTATGCAAATGTTGAGAAAATAAAGAAATTTGTAACTATAAAACATTTTCAAAAACGCAATATTAAATTTAATTATTTAATATTAAAAAAAATAAATAAAAGAAAACAAACATTCCCAAACATACATAGTAATAACAAGTAAAATTAAAAACAAATTTTTAAAACCCAATGCTTTTATATTTATTAAAATACAAGTTTTGCAATCGATTTTTTCTGATATTGTTATTTTATTTTATTGCCATTCGGCTGCATGCGTGTGTAAAAAAACAAAAATAATTTAGGAAGAGGCCGGTCTCAAACCTCATACATTCCGTTTACGAAGTCAACACCTTATCCAAATATATAATGTATAATCAGAAAACAAATAATATACTTATTTTAAAAATAATTTTTCTTCTTTCCATATAAAAAATAAACTAAATTAAAAGTAACTAAATTAATTGACTTATTGCAAAACTAATTATTGAATATTGTATTGTCATCAAGTAAAAGTATGTATGCAAAATTTGAGACAAATTTTGCATACATACAACGAGTTAATAAAAGCATTGGGCATAAAAAAGCCGTTAAATAACATTTAACTCGTTTTGCGGTAATTTATATTATTGCAGTAATTTAAAAAAGTTAATGCCTTTTAAAAAAAAAATTAGAGAACTTTATGACGTAATGCCGCGGCCTGAGATAATCATTAAATCAATCAGCAATAGTGCAAAATTTTCATTTAAGAAATTTTTGTAAATTAGAATGTAAACATTTAAGAACTGTACCAAACTTTTGTTTGATACAGTTCAATTTCATAAATGTTTACTTAACACCTGGGTTTCTCAAAAGTGTCAAAAAGTTATCTCGTGACAATAAAACCATTGGTTCTTTTTCTGATGTCAAAAATCTATATCAATATGAAAAAGATAACATTTTGAAAATAGTTCCTATATCCCATCCTTTTAGACTTCAACTACAGAATGGGTAACATGTTTTAAGAATATTTAATGAGAAATTGGTAGCTGCTTTGAAACTAAAAGGAGCTTATGAAACATTCTCTTTTATTCAGCAGATTTTAGGCTGGTGGAATATTGTTAATGTTTCTGAAATGGGCAGAATATTAGATTAAGAGACCACAACTGGTCTGATAAAAATTTGAATAATCAGCAATTATTTTTAGAATAGTTTAAATCTACGAAATCAGGGCATAGAACCAAACAAATTTTATGTGTTTACCCTTGATAACAACCCTTGTTCAAACCACTGAAAGGTTGCTAGCTGTCTCTAAGCATTTGTTTTCCGTCAGTTTTAATTACATCCTGCTTCGTGAGCTACAATGTGTGTGTATATATATATATATATATATATATATATGTATATATATATATATATATATATATATATATATATATATATATATATATATATATATATATATATATATATATATATATAATTATTATTATTATTATCATTTTAGAGTTGTTTTAAGGATTATAATTTAAAACCACGCAATGATAAATTTGACATTAAATTTTTTGTAATTTAGTTTAATTTTAATAATTTATTAGGTTGGAAGCATTCATTAACAGAATGGAATGAATTTCTTGCTGAAGACTTGCATGATTCAAAAGATGCCCCACAAGACTGTTTTGTTCCTGTATGTTTATTATATTATTTTAAAGTAGATTTACATTTATTTTTTTATTTATTAAATATAAGATTTTCTTCTAAAACTCGGTAATAAATGTAAAGTATTTATTAAGATTATATATATATATATATATATATATATATATATATATATATATATATATATATATATATATATATATATATATATATATATATATATATATATATATATATATATATATACTATTTAATTTTATATATATTTATATATAATTAAATAAATCTTCTTTACTAAGGGTTTTACACTATTTTAAAACTGAGAGAATTTTTCAAATTATTTTAAATGCAGTTTAAAAACATTTAGACAATTGGTAAAAAAAACTTCAATTAAAAAAAGGAAGAACTTTCATTGAGTGATTTTCTGATTTCTGCAGTAAAAAAATTGAAATTTTTAAGTCATTAAAGTTTTATGTATATATAATTTAAACTAACAAATAAAATTAAAAAGATTCAAATTCATGAAATTTTTGCTATAATATAAATAATAGAAACTCAATTTTTATGTTTAAATGTAAAGAAAATTTTTCATTAAATGTATTTCAAACTTTTTTTAGTTTGAAAACTAAAAACAATTATACAGTAATAATTATCCTATTGCCCCTTTATTATTTTTTCCAAAAATATATTTTTATTTTGGTCTTTATCTCTGGAGCAAAATGGTTTTATTAAATTTTGATCTTTCTGTTAAACTGACTAGAGCTTTATTCAAGCAGAAACTTTAAAAAGTGCTTATTATAGTAGAAATTATATTTATTTTCAATTGTTTTTGTATATTGATTTAAATTTTTTATAAATTGTTAAATCAATTAAAATGACATTTTGATGTATATGATGTTAAGAAATAATTTTTTTATAAATTTTATACATCGAAATGTATTATTATTTCACTGCAAAGATTGTAATTTTAATAAATTAAAAATAAAGTATATTGTAAAGGTTTCATATTAAGGTCCTTATTATCTTTTAGAAGATCTGTTGTTGCTATTGTAAACTGTATAACATGTCTGGTTAATATGTCTCTTTTTTATGGCAAAATATATGAATAAAAAAATGCTAAGTGTAAATTTTTTGGTATAATGGTATATTTGTGGCTTTTAATACAAACAAAAAGTTTTCATGTAACTAATTTTCATGAGGGATCATAAATATCTGTCCTTGAGATGCAGAAGAATTAAACATTTTTGATAAAGAGAAATATCTAGATTTTATTCAAGTATGTGTTCTAAATGTAAAAGGAAGATCTCAAGGAGAAAAATATCAGATCATTGTTCTGTGTCATTTTGTGTTAGTATGGCAATGGTGGTGCTAAGTGGATGCATTTATGCCAGAGTTAAACATTGCATTTATAGATGTCATTATGATCCATATGAATAAAAACATTGAAGCAAAGTGATCTAGTTGTTAAATCAAAATGCATGTGCAGACCTTGGCTCCATGCTCCATGTAGTAATAAAATATTGTTTTTTCTTACTGTCTTCTGAATATCTTTACTCAATATTTATACATTTGCAAAATACCCCCAAGACTATAATAAACAGTATAAACGTTATGTACAGTATAATATATACGATGCGCCCACAACATTCCTTCTGACGCAACACGTTAATAGTTTATATACAATACAATTATTTATACTAATTACAACACCCCTTGATCTCTAGATCACAAAGTCCGCATACTTATTTGGAAACTTCCGCACTCACGTCGATCTTCTGAGATTCAGGTTGTTTGCGGTGGGTTCTTCCGGTTCTCTCGTAGACAAGTCAGCTACAATGGGAGCTGGACGGACGTCCAACATGTGTCTCGGAAATCCATTGATTTCTACTGAAACTCCTTGTCCTATATCTGAGACTCTTCCTCTATTCCATTCGCTTGTACATTTTGAATCAGGTGGTTTTACAAATACTTATTTTCCTTGTGTGTAGTTGTGGAGAATTTCCTTGTTAATTTTGGTAAAAATTGTGTGTGGTTTCCACTCATAGGAAAATATAGCTTTGTAGGGGAGCGATGTTTTCTCGCCATTTTTTCTGGGAGCCACGTTATACCAATTTTTAATGGATCTTTGCCACTTCTTGCTGCTATCCTCTTTCTCAAAATATTTCTTCTAGATAGAAACACACTGTTGCTTCTTTCTCGTTTTGCAGCTTCCTCCAGATTGCAAACTTGCTCCTTTTGCCACAGTCGATGATAGACAAACAAATCTCTGATTTATAGTGGGTAACGTCAATAGCTAAACGGTACCAGCTCTTTCCAACTTCAAGATTTCCTTCTTCCCATCTGATTGGAGCAGGATCTACCGATAAACATCTTTCGCAACTTTTTATGACTGATTCAATGTCTTTTCTACAAACTTTCTCCTTCAGATATGTCTGTTTCATCAAATAAAGGGTTCGATTTACTCCAAAGTGATGAAGATTATGAAACGACTTCACATCAGGTGGTACAAGATTTGCTGTCATTGCAGAATGGTTTGAATGCAGCCGATTCTGTGGTACCCTCGTAAGAGTATCGGCTTTATTTTCTGCTGACTTAACTAGAAAAGGTTTTAATTGTATACTGCACTCCTTCACAAGGTCTTCAATTAACAACAACCGGTGACGGACAAGTGGTTCCCCAAGACCATGTACTCGAATGGGCTTGTCACCGATGATTAAGGATTTCAACCAGCCAACAACAGTAGCCGAGTCACACTTTATGGTAATACATTCGAATCCCCATTTTGTTGCTAGATTGATTCCTTTTATCACAGCTTCTAACTCTGCAAGATTAATGTGAGCCGCATCATCTTGTTTTCTCAGCCACGAGCAGTCTTCTGCTATTTCCCGAGCCACTTCCAGAACTATGCCAACAGCTAAACTGCTTGCATCGCACCACAATGTTGCTTCAGAAATGTTTTTTACGTTCTATGACCCATGAACGGGATCTTCCTTTGTAAGTCTTTCATCTAAACTGTTTACTAATTTGACAACACGATCGTTCACCAAAGTGTCCCATCCACAACTACTCGAAACCCTTTTCAGATAGCTGCACGAAGGGCGCAACCAATTTATAATTGGAAAATGTCCAGTCAGCTGTCCGCACCAAGAAAAGATTTGCCGACTCGTCATTTTTCCTTCAGGAACTTTGGGTATGTTGTCACGTTTCCAACGCACTTGGTTGTTTTGTTTGTACACTCGCAATCCAAGCACACGCCCACCGACAAGTTTTTCTGGCAGCTTAGAATCCAAGCCATATTTTTTCAAGAGTTCTTGAACTCTACAACTTGACACTATGTTTTTATTGACAATGATGTCATCAATAAATGAATCCGTCCCAGACTCGACAACTTTGTCTAAGGATAATACCTTTTTTAAGATTTTTGTCATTATTCTGGGCGCCACATTCAAACCAAAACCCAATCTTATTAGACAATATCTCTGCCCTTCATATTCCACAACTTGATATTTCCATAAGGCTTCGTCGACACGAATCTGCAGGTACGCTTTTTTTAAATCGACTATCTCAAGATTTTCTCCCAACTTTCTCCAGTTGCGAAGTTTGGTACTGCAAACATCGCCATCTGCAGTATGACTGGATACAAATTGGTTCAGCTCCCGGTAGTCCATCACCAGATGTACTTTTAGTTTGTTTCGTTGAATTACTGCCATCAACCGAATGATGCCATTACATTTCCCTTCAAACGGTTTCAGCCATCCCTGTGCTATCCATTCACTTATTTCCGTTGCGTACTCACTTTTAACGTCTTCAAAGATGTGATAGTTTGGAATTTTGTTTGTTAAAGTTGGTGGTTCCATCAGCCATTTCCAAGACACGCTCCAGCTGCCATTTTTGAATTCTGCTACGAAGTTTTTATCAATCAGCTTTTGAACAGTAGGCGTGGATACTTCATTCGTTTTTCCTTGAGAGACTGCAGTAGCGTCGATAGTTAGTTGCTCCACATTAAAGTTTATGGTTTCACTGTCTCTCCCAACTTGGACACCTCCGAGCAGTCGTATTGCGTCCATACCAAGTAGCATTTGATATTCGGGAACAATGTTGGCAACTAGGCATTCCAAATCAATGGTGGTATCATTTACAGAAAGATTAACAACAGTCTGGTATTGTACTTCAATTGGCTTTCCATTCATCATAACAACCTTTTCGCTTGCATGTTTGACATTTTTTGGGTTTATAATATCCCGACTTTTTTGGATTTGGAGCATCCAGTATCTAACAATGCTTTTATTTTTCTTCCATTGACATATATGCGGAGAGTTAAAGGTTTTAAATTTTGTGAGAAGCCGCTCGCACAAAAACGCGTGGCTTCCCTTCCACATTTTTTGAGATCGTACACCTTTTATAGCAGTACTGGGCCAGGTGATTGTCCATTCCACACGCAAAGCACCTCTTCTTCTCAATCTCTTTGCTGCAATTTTGACTGATATGTCCATCCTCACCGCAACGGTAGCACGTTATGATCTTTTTTCCGCATCCTTTAGGAACCTGTTTTGAACTAATAGCAACCGGATTCATGCAACTGACAAAACACGATTCTTTGCGACATAAAATTACCAAACTTCTGGACTTTTCAGCAATCTGGCACAGCGACATTGTTGATAAATGAGCATGCAGTTTGCAGCTGTTTTCTTGCTTTGTCAGGTAATCCAAGAATAAATGCGCACCTTATCCACTCTTCTCTTACGTGAGATGATATTAGCTTGCTCAGTCTTGTTAATTCTGCAAGATATACGTCAACGGACTCATTCTCTTTAAGACGGCGATTTACAAACTCTTTGTATGCTGTTAGCGGAGAAGCAGAAAAGGCAGTAGTCAGTGCAGTTTTCACTTCATTGTAGTCTTCTTTTATCTTATCACTTAGGCCTTGATAAACGGCAAACGCCCCACCAGAAAGAAATAAGGGGAGCACCACATGCAGCTCGTCAACTTTTTGAAGTTTTGCTACCAGTTCCGATTTCTGTATCCATT